TGAATAGTATGGTATTGAGGATTCAAGAAGGTAATATTTAAAAAGAGCTTGGGGCTAGGGATACAGCTTAGTGACACAAGCGCCTGCCTCGTAGGTACAAAGTCCTGAGTTCGATTCCTGGTACAAAAAAATGCAAAAGGAGCTTGGCATCATCGTTGGCACACAGTAAATACTGAAAAAGTGGGTTGCTATTATTTTAATAATTATTAATACAATTATTAGTGTAAACGATACATAAGGTAATTAATAATGCCTAGATTTTGCTTATGTCTCTGTCAATTATTTCTGTATGATCTGGAGCAAGTTATTTAACCTGGAGTTCGATTTCCTCTTCTATAAAGTAGGGCAAGTAATAGTTCCTGCCCTCACACAACTAGTGAGGTTAAATAGGCGTATAGCATTTAGATCTGTACTTCAAACAATAGTCATTGAGCTATTATGATTGGTATTATTTTGATTATTGTTACTGTGTTGTCCAGACTGGGGAAAGACAAAGCTAAACAAGACATAGAGAAGCTGGGTTGGGTTTGTAGCTCAGCGAGTGAACATCTGCTTAGCATGCTTGAGGCCCTGGGTTTGATCCCTAGAACTAAAAAAAAAAAAAAAAATTAGGCCAGGGATATAGCTCAGTGGCACAGCACCTGCCTGGCAAGCACAAGGTCCTGAGTTTGATTTTGGTATCCCCCCCAAAAAAAGAAGAAGTAAAAAATCTGATTATCTATCTGGGGATCCTCACTTTAAATTCCCTACACTGAATGACTTGGTAGGGAGGATTCTCTACTTTGCAATAGAAGAAGAGTTCTCAACCCTTTTTCCCCTAGTATCCCCCTGCTAATGAACCTTTTTTAGACATGATTTCTCTGAGTCTTCTACCTACCATGATTTTTTTTTTTTTTTGAGACAGGTCTCTCTGTGTAGTTCAGGCTGGCCTTGAGTTCACTATATAGCCCAGACTGGCCTCAAACTTGAGGCAATCCTCCTGCCTCAGCCTCCCAAATTCTGGGATTACAGGCATGCACCACCATGCCAAGCTATAAATCTATCACTGTACCATGGCTGTTTAAAGTACCACAACCATTGGAACAGCTAAAGCTTTTCATCCCCTAAGGAACACACCCCCCGCCTTTGGAGGTTACATCACCTAGTTAGAGGCTGAGCAGAGGTAAGCCTAGAACCTCTGTCTCTAGCTAGAGGCCCTTTCCCTGCACCCATTCTGGCCAGTGTGGCAGAACAGGCCCAAGCTAGGAAGGTACCTGCAGCAGCATGCGGAGGCGGGTGATGCGCTGGAAGGGCAGCAGCAGGAAGGAGGGTAGTGGCAGCCGCTCACACTTGGGGAGGCTCTGCAGCCGCCGGAGCTCCGCGGAGAAGCGCACATTTGTGTCCCTGTAGAAGTAGGCCCAGCTGGCTAGGGGCTTCATGGAGCAAGGTCCTGATTCTTCAGCCAACTCCGCCCTCTACCCCTACCATGTTCCACAGCTTCTTCCCACACCTCTGGGAAAAAGTAGCACCTCCCTTCACCCACGGTTTTGCTTTCCATGAAAACTTAGTCCAAAAGTATTAAATGGAAAAGCCAGACATAAACAATTTATAAGCTTTAAATTGCATACTTTTCTGAGTAGCATGATGAAATCTCAAACCACTCCACTCCGTCCCGCATGAGATATGCATCATCTCTTTGTCCAGCATACCCACACTGTGTACCTGACCCCCACACGCACCTTAAATCATTCAGTAACTGGTCCAGTTATTAGACTAACAGGCAGCATCACAGTGCTTGGGTCCAAGTAGCCCTTATTTTACTTAATAACAGCCCCATAGTGAAAGAATAGTGATACTGGCAATTTTATCAGAGTATGTTGCTATAATTTTTTTCTTTGTCTTTTTAAGACAGTCTTGCTATGCAAGACTTCAGGCTGGCCTTAAGCTCACTTTGTAGCCCAAGCTGGTCTTGAACTCACAATGATCTTCCTGCCTCAGCCTCCCGAGTGCTGGGATTACAGGCATGCGCCACCACACCCAGCTTCTATTTTATTACTAACTACTGTTGTTAATATCCTATTGCACCTTACTTACAAATAAACTTCATCATATGTGTATGAAAAATATAGTATATAGGGTTCCATGCGATCCATGGTTTCAGGCATCTACTGAGGGTCTTGGAACACATGCCCCATGGAGAAAGGAGGACAACTGCACTCACATAAGGCGGCTGTAGGTCTCCTCCTGATACTGCTGGTTCCGTACATAATCCACGTACACAGAGAAGGGGCCCACTGCATGGGCATGCACCACGTCACACAGGTCGCTGATGTGGGGGGAAGAACGCACCCGGGACAGTAATGTTCCTAGAAACCTGCAGGAGTAGTGGGGCAGCAATGGAGAGGACAGAGGGCCGAGTCTTCCAGGTTTTTGAGAGACGAGTTGGGAACTAACAGAGTCCGTGAAAAGAAGAATCTGGAGAAAGCTAAGGGTGTGCTGAGCAGCCCAAAGCCCAGGTTCCTGGGAGGACAGGACCCCACTGACCGCTCACTGACTCCCTGGACTCGCTGCACGTTGGAGAAGAGTGTGTGGTGATCCCTCGGGGTGAGCGTGTCTCGGAGCGCCCGGCTCAGCACGAAGGTGTCCGTCAGCAGCCTCAGGGAGCGCAGGTAGGAGGCCTCAGACGTCACCACCTCAAATAGGCTCTAGGCAGAAATCCAGGGTAGTAGTGGACAGTCCCACTCATGGCCAGCCTAGGACCTGGCTCATCTGCTTCCCCCATGCGGCCCACTGAGGCCCACCCAGTGTGCCCACCTCTTGCATGCGTCTCTCCTGGGGGCTGAGGGTCTCCAGGAGGCCGCTGGCTTGCACAGCTGGAAGCTCCTGCCACAGGGTGTTTCGAGGGCCAGGGGGTCGTGTGAAGGCAGGAGCTTCCCCAGGATTTGCTGGAGAGAGGCCCCCATCCTCACTAACTCCCCATAGCTCCTCTGACAGTACGGCCGCTCGGTAGGTCTGGTATAGAGGTTCTAGAAGGCAGGCAAAGCACATCAGGGAAGTTCAGAGCCCCAAGCCCTTCCCTACTGCTTGGAGGTCACAGCAGCGATCCCAGGTCCAAAGAGTCTCACCGTCCTGCAGGGGCAGCTCCCAGTTCTGCTCCTTCAGCCCCTCCACCCCCTCCTCATCCCTGTGGAGAGAGAAAGAGATGGGCATTGCCAGGCCCACCCTGGGTGGTGGCCCACTCCACGGTTGCTGTTGGCAGGACATTGAAAGGGATGTACAACCCACATGGCCATCATACGCGGGGACCCTGATGCTTCCCCAGATCAAACTGCAGACTTTCTGATGTGCCCCTTGGAGGTGCACTAACTGGGCTCCCTCCGTTCCCATGATCTCAACTACTGTGCAGCACAGGCTCCCAGGTCTCCGCCTCCAGCCCTCTCACACAGACACCATTGTCCAAAAGGCCCCATGTGTGCCTCAATGGAACTTCACACAATCAACCCAAACTCTTACACCTGCCCACCTCCACCTGTGGTTCTCACGTCCCCTGTTCTGGTCACCTGCACTCCCATCCACCCATTCAGTCTAAAAAAAAAAAAAAATGCTAGTAGAAACTGTGGGTTTTAGCTCGGTGGTAGAGTATTTGCCTAGCATACTTGAGGCCCTAGGTTCAGTCCCCAGCACCATAAAGAAATATTAAAAATTAAAACCATGCTACTAAAAACTAAAAAAAATAAAACCATGCTAGTAAAAGTTTGCTAAATGAATGCATAAATCCAGATTATCTCCAATAGGGGCTGGGGATTTAGCTCAGCAGCAAAGCGCCTGCCTGGCAAGCGCAAGGTCGTGAGTTCGGTTCCCAGTACCGGAGAAAAACCAGATTATCTCCAATAATGATGGTGAATCTAAAATGATTAACAAGCCCAGCCGGGCGTGGTGGCACACCCCTGTAATACCAGCACTCAGGAGGCTGAGGCAGGAGGATCGTTGTGAGTTTGAGACCAGCCTGGACTACAAAGTGAGCTCAAGGCCAGCCTGAACTGCATAGAAAGACCAAGCCCAGATAGGTTGAGGATATAGCTCAGTGGCACAGTGTCTGCCTGGCAAGTGCAAGGTCCTGAGTTCAATTCTCAGTACGGGGGGGAAAAAAAAAAAACCACAAGCCCAGATAACAAAGAAAAGATGGTTACAGTCACCAAATGAATTTGCAGACAGTAACTGCAATAGAGGCTCAAGGCAAGGCAAGGAAATTAAAATGGAGCATTTGCTACAGGCCCAAGTCTTTAGCGACATCATCTCTCCCATCCCATGAAGTAGTTGGTGTATTTACCCCCATTTCCTACATGAGGATGCTGAGACCCAGCAAGGCTGAGGGTTTGTATAAGGTCACATAACTAATAAGGGGCAGGGGTAGGACAGGAAATGCTAGTTTCTGGAGCCCCAGCCCTTCTTTTTTTTCCTTAATTTTTTTTTTTTTTTTTTTTTTTTTTTTTT